ACACTCCCAAGGTAGCAGAAGCGGGAGGTGGATTCCAATACTTCAGCACCAATGCTGATTCGCGGCAATATTAGTGATTGCATCTCCGGTGAAGCTTGAAATAGACAGACAGTTTTGCCTGTGTTGACGGTGAGCCCGAATTTGGCCGCTGTCGAAGCCAGAGCACTAGTCATATGCTGCAACTCTTCCGCGCTGTGTGAAAACAACGCACAGTCGTCAGCAAACAGCAACATACGGATAGTTGTCTCACAGACTAGAGTTCTCGCACCGAAACAACGGATGTTCCGCAACCCACCATCAATACGGTGCTCCACACGAACAAGTTAAGCACAAGCGGAATCAAAAGCACAAGACATCACTGCATGAAGATATATATTAAACAGGGCAGGAGCTAAAACACAGCCTTGCTTCACACCAGAGGCAACTGCAAAGTCATCCGAGGTCTCTCCACTCAGCTGCATCCTCGCCCGTATACCGCTGGGCAGGCATTCAATCAAACTTACAAACTTACGAGGGCAAACAAACTTACCCAACACTAGCCACAATACCTCGCGGTTCACAGTATCAAATGCCTTGATGAAACCAGCAAAAAGCGAGTACAATGGCTGGTGTCGTTTTCTGCACTTCTCCTGCAACTGACGAGCCGCAAACACCATATCTAAAAGGCTGCGATCCGAACGGAATCCACACTGCTCTTCTGCCGTGTTCGGTTCCACACTCTGACTGACGAGGCGGTTGAGCAGGATTCGAGCAATCACGTTGCCCACACAACTCAGCAAGTTGATATCACTATAATTTGTGGCACATTCCTTGATTCCTTTGCCCTTGCACAGTGGCAGCACAAGTGCAGCCTTCCGCTATGGAGACATCTCTTCCTCAACCTACACGCGTTGCACCAGTGGTGCAGCGCAGCCACAAACGCCAGTCCGCCGTGTTTCAATACTTCAGGTGGGATCCCGTCGGTCCCAACACCCTTACCGTTCCGCAGCTGAGCAAGAGCTCTCTGCGTTTCATCCGGTGTCGGCGTATCCGCCAGACTCACCTTCACCTCGTGCTGCTTCAGATCGTTACATGTAGGAAAGTAAATCTCTGAAGCGTTGTTCAAGAGATAGTCAGAGTGTTTTTGCCAGATCTGCAGTCTATATGTAGGTGGCGCCTGAAACACCATAGATCAGCGTCCTCAGCGGCTCCAATCTCGGTCCATAAGCAGTCTTCGAGGAATCAAAAAATTCCTTTTGTTGGCGACGTCCGGCGTAGCATTCCAACTGCTTCATCTTCTCCGTCCACCATGCATTTTTAATGCGACAGAGCTCGCGGGTCAGTCGTCGTCGAATTGTGCGAAACTGACTGCTCTTCCCCAAGTCACTGGGGTCTGCCACATGCGCAGCAAATGCTGCATTCTTCCTCGACACCAATGTGCCAATCGTCGCATTATTTTCATCAAACCAATCAGGCCGCTTACAGTTTAAGCGCCCGATGGTCACCCCACCAGCAGCTGTCACTTGGTCACGAATGTGGTGCCAAAGGTCGCCCACTGTGGCTATGCGGTCCACATCACACAGGCAGGCAGCCATCGCCTCCAGCTCCATTCTCTTCTCCACAGTACCGAGTAAGAGAATGCTAAATTTACCCCGATGCACGGCAGAAGTGCAATATATAGATTTACGAAAATATATGTACAGTTTGGTCCGCAACAATTTATGATCAGTGACACACTCTGCACCACGCAGTACACGAGTCATGTGCACTTCACGCATTTCACGCTGACGTACGATGACGTAGTCGTGCAGGTGAGCGTGACCATTCCGTGAGTGCGTGCAATGCGCTATATCACTCGCACTGAGTGCAAACCGTGTTTTAGTGATCGTCAGGCCGTGAGTGACACACAGTGAGAGTAGCCTTTCACCGTTCGCATTTGCTGAACCAACGCCATGCGGACCGATGACATCTGTCCAACACGATGCATTAAGCCCAACGTGCGCTGAAATCACTCAGCAGAAATAGTCGGTCGCTCTTCGGCACAGACCGTATCACGGAGGATAACTGAGTGTAGAATTGATCATGCATGTCACTAGGATCACACATGGTTGGACCGTACTTGTTTATAAAGGTGGCAAACTTACATCTTCCGAGTCACAGGCGAAGAGTCCTCAGTCGCGCGCTGATGCCCGTTGGTTCACCCACCAGCTGACCATTCAGGCGATCGGATATTGCAAATTCGACCCCATGATCACGTGGTGCTGACGCGGCGTTGCTCACCCAGTAGAATGTTTAGCCAGCACCTGCTTCATGCAACTTACCTTGCTCAGCGAGCCGAGTCTCACTGAGTGCCGCAATATCGATGCTGTAGCGCGCCAGTTCCATCGCAACCAGTGCAGTGCGTCGTTCGGGGCGTTCGCTAGAGTTCCGGTCCAGTAGTGTGCGCACGTTCCAGCACCCGATGCTGAGTGCTTTGCGCGCAGGCCTACGCTTGCATTAGTGGGCAAGTGCACGCGAGGTGGCGGTTGTGCTTCGGTTTGCTTGAGAGACTCCACCTGGAGCCTTTGGCTCAATAGCCGGACCCACAAGGCAGTGGGGAGCAGATCCAGCTCGGCAATGTGATTGCAGAGACAGATTGGGATCTGCTTGACAACCGTCACATGCAGCCTTTGAGGTACTGGAACGATTTATATATGTTTTGCGACCGTAGTGGGATACTACTGGGAGTACGACCAAATGCAGGTGGGTTTTGGCGGGTTTGCAGCAGTTTGACCAGGGGCTGCCTGGCTTGATGCGGGCAGTAGCAAACCACTGAGCACAAGGAGGCACCCTCTCACCGTCAGAGACAATGCATGTCGCTCGTGCTCTAGGCCAATCGAGCTGTGAGCCTATAACGCGTAGACCTGTTGTCTCCCATGGCTAGATTTTACGGGAAGAGGGCCATCGACCACTTCCTAACCTTCGAAGAGGATAAACTAGGATACTGGCAGGGCGCCCACACCTGACAGGAGAACGACTCGGGTCTTCAGCCAAAGCCTTCGATTAAATGTACACCCGAAAGGCAGCGGGTCCAACACATGGTCAGTTCACTGACTCATGCGGATTGGTGTCGTGGATCTTAGCAAGGAGAAAGGCGTAACCCAACATATATATATATATATATATATATATATATATATATAGAGAGAGAGAGAGAGAGAGAGTTGTACACATGTAAATTTCTGCATGCTCACATGATACAGTATTTAGTATTCCGGAAGAGCGTAAGTAGGCTCCTGATGCCATAATGACAGCGCTAAATGCAATGCGACTCATCGAAGACCAACGTACTAAAGAAGAATGAGGCGATGGCGTAGGTGTGAGTTGAGGCAGTGCGATCAACACAGGGTCCAAGGACTGCAAAGGTAGGAACGCAGAAATGACAACCCGTGAAACTATAGCAAACGAGAATTGGTGCAACCACGTCACTGGTGGATAGGATAACAACGTCATGCAAGGTTTCGATACTACTCAATTTACTTCCCGCAAGTGTGCACTGTCACAAATGTGTGTTGAACAGGTGTCAGCGCCTGTAATGAGTCTGCGACGGACATAAATTTCCTGAAATAAACCTTATTCGAATGAAATGAACATAAAGCGAAACAGGACATATTGCCCGCGGCACTCGAAGATCGTGCTACAACATTGATTATTGCGTCTTGAACTCCCCCGACGAGCGTGAGGCTATTATCCTCATGAGGCACTTAGTTCCTTTTTTGGATATGGTTACACTCCATATATATGCTGGCTCGGAAAAAGGACGTTCTACTGTGGATCGCAGACTCCTGCTGATGCTATCACTTATTTCACTGAAGCCAGAACCTCACTTTTCTGAAAGAATATTTTGACAAAACATGCACTTGGATCTTATCAAATATGTTTCATGAAGCTTGCACTTTACTGCAGATGATAGTTTCTTCAAAGATGCCTTATATTAAATAACAATAATAATGTGTAAGTTGTACGTCCTAAGGGCGCTTCGCTGCCGCGCGACCACCACTAGTCGCGCGCGGGCTGAGTATACTGCGAGGACGCCCACCCTACGCGGATTCGAACCGGTGACCTTATGGTTGCAAACCAAACGTGCAGGCTACTCGGCCACCGGCCTTACATTACCTAAATTTCAATCCATGTATCAGCTGAAAAAAGTCTAATCATTTTTTATTCAGCTTGACTCCAACGGTTTTTATCACAAATTCATAGACCTGCAAGCATCTGATACGACTACAAATTTTTAAAAGAGAACAACATTATTCGGTTCAATAAATACACTTACATGACTGTGGCAACGGCATTAGTCCATCAAAAAATTTATTTTGACTCCCCACGCCAAAAGTACTGTACAACTCCACCAAGCTTAACCCAACAATCATGTTCAAACTACAATCTATCCACATTGCAAATATTTTTGTTTCGTCGCTGAAACTTATCGAAAATCTGGAGAAACAGAGTCTTTTTCGATCAAGCTGTGATCGATGTATTGCTACACTGTGCTACTACCTAATCAACTCTTTTTGGGTGTCGCGTTTAACCGAGAATAAAATTATTTATTGTATTTGTCATCATCAGGAAACTTTCCATCGACAAATCACCTTTTAGTTGATGAGAAATTGGCACCAAATATGAATAACGTTCGCATGTACAAATTCGAGACTCCACCTCACACAATCTTACATGCAATTGCAATCACGTGAACCTCATACAATCATGGAAACGTTTGCGAAAAAACACATAGGCAAGCACTGTGTAGACCCGGTTTTCAGCGCATCTGAGGACGACAACAACGATAATGGAAAATAAATAAATAATGGGAACGCCTATCAGGAAAGTATCAGTAGAATAACGATGCAAGCCGTCTGACATATGCAAAGATAGCATGCGTGAGTTTGAAGAGGACTCGACCCAAAGATCTAAAAGAACGAGAGTACCGTTTGGATTTCAAGTAATAGACACGAAACACAGCGAGTCCGTATGAGCCTTACCTTAGTGACGAGGGCAGTGAGGGACTCGACAACAGACGCGCGAACCACATTCGTCTGTCGTTCGCCGAGAAGCCGGATGAGTGGACCAAGCACTTTGATTACACTGCTCTGTAATGCGGGACCGCTCGCATGCGTAATACATTCCAGGAGAGCTTGGGAGGCAGGCTCCTTGATGTCTGGATGACCACGTAGAATACAATCTGCAAACAGCTTCACTAAAACAGTGACTGGAAGTTTTGGGTCAGAAAGTCCAGGCAGAAAGTCCTTTGAATTTTTGGAGGGTGTACTTTTGTGTGATTCAGAGGCTGCACCCCGGATGCCTTGTCGTAAATCATTGATTTGCGTAGAAAGCGTTTCTGGGGACCAACGCTGAAAGAGTAGGGAGTTAATGGGTTAGAATACGTTGGTGAATACTGTGGAGAAGGAGATATCGTTTTCACGTCGAGACTGAGACATGTCCGGCGAAAGTACTGCTATGCAAATCTATTGGTTGTTTTAAGGATTGTCAAAGCTGCGGTAACACAGGGGTTGATGATGGCCACCTGCCGCTGGGTAACGGTCCTGGATTCGACCACCTATGTGGCTGGACACATTCATAGAGTTAGTGCATTACTTGCATTCGTCCTGTTAGTCCGGAGTTTAACCAGTTATCTACATGTGTCTTATATACAGAAGAAGTATACATACACCAATATCTGCAATACCGAAAATATCACGTGATCCCAGTGTCTGACATTTTTCTTTCAGGGACTCCAAAAGAATACCAATTTTACAAGAAAAAGAAGATTAGAAAAATAGCAACTTGGGAGATAGATAACGTGTGAATCTGATCGACTTTCTGGTGAGATATACTAATCTGTGGAACCGATTGCCACTACAAGTACGCACGAGTGCTAACTATGCCATGACCCCAGATTCTCTGGAGACTCCTCATTATCCCGAATTCGTTAAAGACACTTTGCGCATAACAATCACCAAAAGCATTGCCGGAAGCTGGTCTAAACAACATATGAGCAGCCAATAGCCTACAGTCATCTTAACCGCTGTTTTCATTACCCATGCAATAAGGCACATGTCTGTGCAACTTGAGCTACTATCCTACTCCACTTTTGACTGCTCCCGAGCTCAGCTAGCTAGAAAATTTGAAACAGGGGTATATTAGTACGTGTTGGATTTTGTGTGAGATCGGGTTGATGATCCGAGAAAATATTTATGATCCCAAATTCTGTTTTTCAACAAACTCTATGATCATGTTTTAAACCGCATAAACCATTACGCTAGTTCCTTGTACAGATGATGGCTCCTGCTTAGAGGCCGTATACCCCTTGTCGGTAAATATACGAATTTATTTCTTTATTTATACTGTAAGACGTTACCTTTTTGGGCATCCCTGAATTGTAATAATAATAGGAATAATAATTTGACAATGTGAGTCAAAGTAATTAGCACACTGGGCTTCAATCATTGTAGATCAACTGGACCGAACTGAGATTGGCGTCAAGTGGTACACTAGGAGAGCGTAGCTCGTGACAACAAGAATTAGTACATTTCATTATGAGACTGGAAAAATGTCCAGTATCAATGAGGACCTAAGCCACAGTGAATACGGGGCCCGCCTGAAGCAGCAGCATAATGCCAAAAGTAATCGAAAAAGGCCTGAACGAAAGAACAGCTGGTACTTCACGAGACCAACCGATTGGAAGTGAGCAAAGTTAACGGATGATGTGGGGTCGCAGATGTGAATTCAGAGAAAATCTGATATAAACGTCTCAGTACCCATCTCAAGTGAGGGAATGAAGTTGCTTTCAAGTGAAGGGTGACGCACTCGTGTTGGTCACCATTCTTCGCACTCTTAACTCATCCAGGGGATAAATGCAGCTTTTGAAGGCAATGCGTTGAAAAAACTTAATTATTCACTACAAGCAGACAACCACCAACAACTCATGGGTAAATGATGGGCGGGAGTTTCGGGGCTTCCCAGTAGCGTGATCCCATTTGCCCGATGGAAGTCTCGAGACTGTAACCGAACGTTCCTTTAACAGGGCTATAGATCTTGAATCATGGCAGATGTCGGCACACAATTACTAAATAGGTGGTTCAGATGGAGAGTGACTCATTCTCTGGGGACTGCTACTTTGACAACATGCGAAACGAAGAGTGGCCCCGAAAAGCACCATGTTAAATTAGAGTCGCCAAAGGAGCGACAGCATTCTAAGCAGTTCGAACATCAGCGAATATCAGTAGGGTAAAATGTTGGGAAGCTCAAGTTTCGACGTAGTAAGTGAAAAGCCACCCTCACAGTATTCAAATGATATGCGTACATAGCTGCTGTGTCATGGAAGCCGTGGCCTATGGAGTCCAGCCACTGTCTTCCGCAACGGTAGCAACCTTCATGGCAGTGGAGGATAGGTCACGCTATATCCCAGTTAGCTTGCAAATTGTGACGGTCTGTCGCCGTCCCCAATGGCATATAGACGCAAGCTATGGGCTAGTTGGCACAAACTGCTAGCAGTCCCGGGTTTGGTTCCCCTGTAGAAGACCGAAAGAATGCGCACCACTGACAAGACACAATAGGGCGAAACGATTGTCCGGTGCATGTAAGCTGCTGAAATGCACCAGAAAATTTCATCAGAAATCCTCCTACTCATTATTCAGAAGTGGGACCTCGTCTCATATAAAACAGATAGAATGCACACGGTTGATGAACTCCGAGAGGATGAAATAGCCATTCCGCGAGGGACATTTGGAAGCTCTCGTCGTCTCAATGGATTGTAACGTGCAATCCCAATCCGGACCACCATCCCCCGTGAAATGAAACCTTTCCAGACACAGTCCTAGTGATCGCATTCACACACACACAATGAGTGCTTCGAATTGATCCCACTTAGCCGTTAGCCGTTGGGAGAAACGTTTTCCGCGACTTAGTGATAAAGGCCTCGTCTTGTAGCGTCTTTACCCCGGATTCGAGTCGCGGTCGCGGCGTTGTGAATGGGAAACATCTAAAGTCTGTTATCCAGTGCCTTTCAGGATATGCAGTGGGTGTATAGCTGCGCCTAGCTATGAGAAAACTTATCTGGATAATTTCAATCCACTAACCACTTACCTATAACTTTCTTTTTTATTGTTCCCTACGCGTTTAGTTTCCATAACATTTCCCGCTATTGTTATTACAATTATGACAGGTTTGCCGAACAATGTCTTCGTGGTGTCAGCTGCATAGTTCGGGATTACTCCGTTTGGTCGAATGATTAGGCGGTAGTGCTCCGGGACGTGGTGAGTTTTAGCCTGGCAATTGTTCTCCGTATAAAATCTACACATGTCCGTTTAACAAAACACCATGACATGGCGGATGTGCCCTTGGTTCTTCCGATGGATCATTGCATTCTAACCGCCTCTTGCTGAAATCGTGCGAAGATTGAGTGATGTTCGACAATTGACCAAACTGAAAGAGTATGAATAGAGAAATCGGTCACCGGTTCCCAATGAGCGCGATTCCTTGACTAGGCTCCGTTACCTTGACGATGGACTATACAGCCAAAGACCCAGGGTGATGTTCCCTAAGTCCTTACTTCAGATTGGGCAGCAGGATAGTATCGTGCTCACTGACAAAACCATGAATTACACCGTGTTGTGTTTCGGTTTCCTTGTTACCATAACTGTACCTTTCAGATTACCACATTTTGGATGATTCCTTATCTATCCGTAGACTATTGAATAAATATATGGTTCGCGACACCCGCCCCTAAATTTGTCCGTCACTGCGGTCTCCATAAAACAATCACAGGATGTCTGCGTCTACTGAGGGACTATGGTGTGTGAATCACCATCGCCAGTCAGATGTTCACACCCAGCATTGACTGTCCCTACACGTGCGCATGTGTCTGTCTATCGATTACCTACTCACTAGTGAGTTGGTCTCAACTACTGCATCGATGCTCTGTGCACGTTCTTGCCAGATTACACGTTGCGTGCTACCAGCTCGGGGTGCTCCCTTGTACTTGCGTAGCTCAGCTACGAGCCATTACTGTGTTCGCAAGCTTATGTTGATTACGTACGGGGTGGAGACGGAGTCTAGACCCAGTTATCCGTTAAGAGTTACCTTAATCCACCTGATTCATTTGGGAAAGAAGCGGCTTCCAAGTTATCCCTTGCAGTTCAGACTCTGTGGAAGAGAACATTATGTGACTATCATGAACTCTACAAAATTACAAATCTGCGCAGCACTATTACTGGGCAGCAATCCGTTAAACTGTAAGAACAACACCTGGGCGCAGAAGGTCAGAGGCATTTCGATGCGCTACAGCTGTACGAAAACACCTACCTGTCCCATAGTCTAAGATCTCTGGATGGTCTTTGAGACTTACGACAAAATGTGATTACAGTAGGACGAGATCTTTCCAAACAATAACAGGTAGAAGAAAATGGTTAATGAATTTATAATCCGCATACACAAGTCCGGGCCTGATTGCTGTTATAATGAGATCCCGTCTACGAAATTTGAAGAGGTCATGGCTATCCAATGTCTTTTGGCTAGTGTTCGAAACAATAAGGCCCGAGAATGCCTACTGTCGGAAAACCAGGGCAAGCTTACTAGGGAATCTGCATGCACATTAGTGAGACAAAGAAAAAAAATGTGGTCCGACGATTAATTTCCTACCAACATGATCCACTTTCAGATGTAATCCACGCATCAAACCACGATCGCCTCCGAAAAGCAAACACTGCTTTATGTGCTACAGGTGTGGCGAAAGACATTAAAGAGTGATTGTAGTCACAGAGGATTTACTCGAAACAAGTTCGGCAAGGTCGGGCATTTTCGGTGCTTGTCGTTCAACAGTGCTTCCACGTTGTGTGGCTTACTGTCCACCAAATGCTGTACGGACAATAGCGAATTCCGATGAGACAATATCCTACTTGATTTCACATACTACTACATCGTATGTGCTCGGAATACCTCCATACAGTGTGGAGTTGGAGACTGAATGCTAACGTGTGCGCCTAGAAACCGATACGGGGACCTCAGTCACGTTGGTCAACAATCGCACCTCAGCCGACTTGCCAATGATCCAGACCTAGTCTACTGTATGTTCTTACCATGGCGAATTACTAGACGTATTGGGGATGCGTAAGTTAAGGGTTACTCATAGGACCGTCACTTTCCGGCTTCCATTAGTTGTTGTTAACACTGATGACCCGGAACTTAGTTGGTAGGAAATGGGTCAAACAGATGCCATAAGTAATTCGAGCCGTCAAAAAAACTGGACCATATTTCAGACATTCATTCGTTGTTGAGAATGTACGCTTGCGGGTTTAATGAAACGTCGCCCGGTAAAATATGTGATTTCAAAGTTTCTGTCAATACCCGACCGATGATCTAGCGGAAATTTTTCAAATCAAAGAGCTTACGTTTTGCTATCCATCCGAAAGTTGAGTTAGAGATAGAGCGCCTCCGGAAGGGTGGAATATTATCGCCTGTACACCACCCAACTTAGAGCATGCCAATTGCTCCAGTACTGAAATCCCGTATTCGTGGCGACTAGTAACTAACTGTTAACCAGGCAGCGATTTCAGTACACTACACTATTCCGCGGATAGATGACATACATGCAACTATTTCAGGTGGCCGAAAGTTACCATAGTTGATTTAAGCCACGCTTAATCTCAAGTAGGGCTGCATGAATCCGCCAGGGAGTTAACAACGAACAATACGCGCATGGATATGTTTCAATACAACGGACTTCCATTTGCAATACATTCGGCGCTAGCAATATTTCAGAGAATTATTGACAATTTGGTGTATGCGCTTATTTAGATAACATTCTAATTTCAGGTAGTGATCACATGAGATCGCTAGCGGCTGCCTTGAAAAGTCTCCAAGACAGTGGACTCAAGCTGAAGGAATCAAAATGTGTATTATTTGCCGCCAGTGTTCAATACCTTGGATTTCGTTTGAGTAAACACGGCTTGCACCCTATAAGGGAAAAAAATCCAACCCATCCTTGACTCTCCGAGACCAGGCAAGATCAGTGAGCTGCAATCCTTTCTTGGTATGGTATATACTATAATTGATTCCTACCTTATTTGGCCACCATCCTCGCACCCCTGTAAGCTTTACTACAAAAAGACGCCAACGGGCAATGATCAGCTAAAGAACGAAAAAACTTCGATGCTTGCAAGGCGTCCATAGATAAGACTAATCGGTTAGTACATTTTAATCTGAGGAGACCCATCACTCTCAAATGTTACGCCTCAGCATGAGGGCTCAGCGTCGTACTGTTCCACAAGATGGATGAACAGACCGAGAGACTCACCGATTTTGCCTCTAGGAGCTTAGCATCGGCAGAGAAGAACTACACCCAAATGGATAAGGAGGCATTAGCAGTTACATTCGGTGTTAAGAAACCTCACCCGTAGTTCTGAGAAAGAAGTTTCGAAATATTTACTTATCTTAAACCCCTATTAGCCTTGATTGGTGAACATAAAGGTATTAACCAGATGTCATCACTGAGTATGCAACGATGGGCCTTGCTGTTATCGGCTTACAAGTACACCACCTCTTATATCCCAAGAAAAGAAAGGGGATTACGATGCATAGAACCGGTTGCCATTGAATAATCTGCGCGATTGTGTATTTGAACCAGTTGAATTAGTCCACTTAATGTAGCAGTTGATCAGCAAGCCAGTGTTCAAAGTGGATATCCGCCGTGAGACAGAGTATGACGTAATCCGCTGCAAAGTTAAACGTTTGGTCTTCCAAGGATAGCCCAATCAATGTGAGGCGGAATTGTTACTTTACTTCACCCGGCGTACAGAAATAAGTCTCGAGGACGACTTCCTCTTATAGATTACGACAATATGTGCTGCAAGAAGCTCATCCAGGCATCACCAGAATGAAAGAGCTCGCGTGATCTTATGTATGGTGGTCTGACACTGATAGCGACATAGAAAGATTGATCAGACACTGTGAAGCATGTCAAAGTACACCAAACGCCCCACCGGTGCCACAGAGTCGATGGAAATGGCCCGACAAACCATGGGAGCGCACACATGAAGACCACTCAGGTCCGCTTGATAGTCGATGCCTATTCCAAATAGATTGAGGTTTTTCCGCTGACACGCCACTTCGGAAACAACCGTTTCCTGCATGCGAACAGCATTTAGGCCATTCAGTATTTGACAAACACTAGCGATTGAGTACGGCCCTGCAATCACTAGTCAGCAGTTTCAACAGTTCTTTCAAAATAACGGCATCAGACAAGCGGAAAGAGCAGTCCAGACAGTAAAAAAGGATTGCCGAAACAATCAGCCGCTCCACTCCGAAGTTAGAGGAACTTTTATCCGATTACCGCTCTGCCCTAAGTGAAACGACAGGTAAGAGTCTAGGCGGCGAACTGATGTTCACACGCAGCATTGACTGTCCCTACAAGTACGCGTGTATATTGGTCTATCAATTACCCAAACATTAGCGATTTGGTCTCAGCTACTTGATTGATGATCTGTACACGTTCACACCAGAATACCCGTTGTGTGCTGCCAGCTCGGTGTGTTTTTTGTCCTTGCATCGCTCGGCTACGAGAAAGTACTGCGTTCGCAGGCTTGCGTTAGTTCCCTGAGAGTACACTTCAACAGGGAAAATGGGTGGCTTACGCTGCAGCATTCACAGCTCCAGGCAAACACCCCAGATCCATTGTAAACCCGAAGGAATAAGAACGAGAGGCATGTGGATAGGAGCCATGTTTCATCCACGGAGCCAGCCCGCACTCCTTCAACATGAACAGCAGCAGCATTCCCGACTATCGAAGTTGGTAATCATGAGTATCAGATATAAATAAAGCAATGGATGAGCTGTAACCCGCCACACACTCGATGGAGTCACTCTTTAAACCTAGTATGGTCACGAGGATCATGCACCCCGTCCTTCTAGCAAAGATCAGCACGCAGCTGGAACCGGTATAGACGAAGTCACAGGTAGGCACATTTTAAGCATTCACATCAAGCTTAGCCAGACTGGGGTTATCAGCAACGAAGACAGCATTTGAAGGGAAAATAAAATACGCAAAATTGACATGGAATATGCGGCTGAAGACCAGAATGAAGAAAAGCAAGTAAAATGACATAAATTTCGTATCTTATGAGTAGTAGTGAGGAATTTATCCGGATTAGGAGGACCTAGTTAAAGTCGGTGTAGCCTAGCTGCGGCGAAGAAGCATGATGTATGCAACATCAATATACATAAACGTTATATATGTAAACATTATTATTATAACAACACGAGGAAGGACGAGTAAGTGCATCACTAATATGCCCTAGTGAAAACTTGAGTGAATGGGCAGAATTGAGCCAAAAAACTGGAGGCACCGTAGAGAAAAGCGTAGCACAGAGCCCCTGTAATGCAGTTTGCAGGCCACATAAACGTTAGCTACTGAAACCCAAGTATAACCAACAAACGACTCAAAGGAAGAGGAACGTGAGCGTTGGATGAGAAACGTGATTCAAGCAGTATCTGCTGAGATGTCTATTGAATCGAACTGACCTTAACAAGAGATTCCAAGCACTTCCAACAATACACCAGAACAGCCTCATCACGGAACGCCAGTAACCGACACAGGTTACGTAGTGCTAGAGGATAGAACTCCCTCAGAACCTTGCTCACAGATTCTTTCGCATCTGGAGGTTCATCGTTCTCATTGTCCAACATGTCATTGTCGTCAGAGTCCGTCTCCTCGGAATCATCTTCGTCCTCGTCACTGTAGTCTTCCGATCGATAGTCGTCGCTTTCCTCTTCCCCGTCATCTGATTTAGTAATGTCGCGATCCTTGCCGGATGCGGCGATTACTGCATCGTGGCCTATGCTCATGTCACATGCATCAAAGCTGATTTCCAGATAGGCGCTCAATAATCGCAGACAGGCGAGTCGATAGGCTACAGTGCCTGGAACAACCTGACCGAAGGTAGTGGGAGCGCTTTGTGTGGAGGCCGGTCCAATACCGGTGAGCAAGGCATTTAATATGTAGCGCACACCGGTCAAATCGTACACACAAATCAACACCTCCGCACAGTGACCAACGTCCTAAAACACAGAACAAGATGGAGTATGAAATGAGAAAGATATGAGAATGGCGTGTATGGGTGCGTGTGTCTAAATCGACAACAAGGCGTGAGAAAGGAAACGAGTGCACCACCGACCTCATCGGTTCGCTGTTCATTCGACTGGGAGACCAGAGTGAGTAGGGCCGGGAGGATGCGACCAAGCTGACGAGACAGGGACTCGCCAGCCACTGAGGCCAAGTACGCGAACGCCTTCACATTGACTGTTGGATAGATGAGCTGCAAAACGAAAGAGAGTGAAGTTTCGTGTGAAGGTCATTTAACCTAACGAGATGACACGCGCTTGGGGGAGAATGTTGACTAATGGTCACTTGAACTCGCCAGAAGCCTCCCCCACATCAAGTCAATAATATGAACAACAGAAAATTTGGAGATTTAGTATATGACCCGCTGTTCGTATGCTGAAAAGCGTAGGATGACGTAAGCAGACACATTGGTTAGTCACCTGGCTAAATACATAGCTAACATAGTCATTTATAAGACAAACGTAATTGACTACTGAGGACCGCTTTCAAATGAGCGGAAACTCAGTATAGTATGCACAGGGTAGGTGCCTTATAAGCTCGAACTGCCTTCTTTATGAAGACGACATCGTGTGAAGGGCGATCAATACACCATGTGATATCACAATACTTTAAGCCGATCAGGATAGGGTTGACGCGTGGTCAATACAGAACCTACTTCTATTCAGCGTGGACAAATGCCGAGTGCCGCACTTATGGAACCAGGTGATGTGCTCCTATATACTCGGCAACCAGGAGTTTCAAATGTCTTCTGGTGAAGAGGATCTCAGCATTTTGATCCAACCCGACCTTGGATGTTCGTATCAGGTTGAAATGGCATCAAAAATGGGCATACAACACGTAGACCCTCTGAAGCGTGCATTCAGACGATTCGACCCTTCGGCTTTTCCAGAACTTCTCAGCTCAGACATACGTCCACATGTGGAATACGCAATACAGGTCTGGCAGACATGGCCGAGGAGAGATCTCACTGCCTTGGAGATACCCCAACGCCGGGCAACCAAGAATGTCCATGGTCTGGATAATTTACCGCATGAATAAAGGCTTCAAGTGCTCGGGACCACATGTTAACTTACCAGATTTTGAGAGATCCAAACCACACATGCCGCCATTTCCTAGAGATCAGTCAGAACAGCAATTTGACAGGCCACCATCTCAAGTTCGCGGAGCAGCACAGTCGTTTAGAATATCGTCGGAATTTCTTTACCGTACGTGTTTGTAGAACGTGGAATGCCCTCCCGGATTCGATCGTCTGTGCTCCCACGCTGGCAGCGTTCAAAAACTGAGTTGACCATGGGCTCAATTTGCTGCGCTATCTCACATAACACATTATCCATCGGATAAACACAAGTGTCTGTGGGAGATTTTACTGCCGGCCAACTCCCAGAATACGTTTCACGTCTTTCACATACCTTAGGTGGTATGCACCAGGAGGAAGTACGATTTTTACTAACATTTCATTTGTCGTCATTCATTATGGATTTGCGGTTTATAATACGTATACCACGGTGAACCAACCAGTGTGAACATAATTTTGCTGTCAATTGTTGCATATTTTGCAATATTCATCATGGCCATCCTATGGGATCTGTTAAGCTTTAACGTTTTTATCGAGTATAAAACCATGGTGCTATTGTTCTTACGCGGAGGATGCACAGAGTCAAGGAGGTACTCACTTTGGGGATCAAGTAAGGCATTACAGCCTTTCCTTTGACAACTAATAGTTGTCGCAGACCATCCAGCGCGTAAGGGTTCGATTCCGAATCGTCCAACAGTGACATCAAATCGGGCAAAATGCCTTCGAGAGACCTCAGACCCAAAATGTTGTGGAGCAGTTCAAATGCGCGGGCACCAGACCGACGCACCTCAGGAAGTTCATCACACAGAGCACGACGAACGGGAACGAGCAAAACGTCGGTGTAATTTGTCAACTAGAAAATCGGCAGAAGAACGGTAATCGCGGTGCATGAATCGTAAAGATGGAAAACGAAACAAAAATAATCAAAAATAAACTTCCAGGTTATGGTGGCAAGACGATGGTGACCTATTAATCTCTAGCTTGACGAAACCCAGCAATGGGACGCAATTGTGACGTGACAGCCTCCAGTTCCGCTTACCTCAAAAAGTCTCCAGCCTGCATCACATAATAATTCCTCTGATAGTGTTTCGCGTCCCAAGGTAACAGTTATTCCTACGTAGGCTATTTGTTCACATTCAGCTCAAGTTTATGTAGTGTTCCTAGCTTTCTGTCAGCAATCACATCCTCTTCAGTCGCTTCGTTGTTCCATCATTGAGTCAAACAAGATAGATTGTTTATCGCCTCACAGTAAACATAACTCTTGTGGTACTCAAGGTGCAGCGGATCTTGTTCATCGCATGCTAACGTGTCTTCCCTCACCAATCACATATCCAAATAACCCTACGACCATTATTCTGAGCCACGTTTTCAAATGGCCATCGGAGGACACGCAAGTCTGGAACGGCTGAGCTCGGGTTTCAGGCATCTCGACAGGAAACTGTGAGTATCCAGAGGCTAAGGTGGGAATTAATGCACTGTAGTGTGAAATAGCGCAAGAGAAGTAAAACTGACTTGTTCACGGGGACAGTTGCGTATGATCTCCATGAGGCCGTTGCACACACCCCGCCGACCGTCAGGATCAGGAGAGTCGAGAATTTGCAGCAAAAGTGGAATGATCTCGGGGAGAATGCGTTCGCCAAGCTTGCGCACAACGTCGCCCAGAGAACGAGCGGCCAACTAAAAGAGTTGTTGGAAAAAAGAATAATGTGAGGTGAGCACTGTAAATAGGGAAGGGAGAACGAGACGAATCGCCGTAAAAGATTATGGGATTGCAAAGAACAGTGATCGCGGGCGATCACAACAAAATAGAAACCACTCAGTAGGAACGAAGACAATAGTGGGAGCAAGAAATAATTCCGGCTTTTTGAATACACTTGGAACTTATTGATAATTCATTATTTCTGAAAAGTTTGGAAGCAATCGGTTGGCGTACTTGCTCCACGATGTTTCGCCTTTTACATAAAACTTCCGTAGAACTAAACTAAGTAGTGTGCAACTGGAGCGGCGTGTTATGGAGAATGATGGCGACACTCAATAACAGACGACTTATGAGGATAGTACAGGCACAAATCGAGAAATCAACTTAAGTTGTGCGGCCACACTTTCACCGCTGCGCTGACACGTGTTGAACGGATTGGCTTATATTGGGTAGTAGCGATCGGGTGATGTGCCTACGTAATGTGCCATTCGCTGAAAAGATGTGGCACATTAATAACAGGAAAAGTAAAGACCTACAGTTAATGGAGCGTTCCTAACTACTGTCATTGTGACTTCATCGGTGGAACGTGACGATGGACAAAGGAGAACCAGTTTAGAGGGCATAAGGTGAGTGTGATAAGCCTGAGGTAAAAAAAATGATACTCCTGAGTGTGAAGAACACTGACCGTTTGTAAGATATGATCTGAGCACTAGAACATAAACCAGAAATAATGGAGAAGAGAACACAGAAGACGGTATCCTGCAGGAAGATGACATTAGGTGGTTATCTGTCCCCACAGCAAGTGAAGTGGTGCACGGTAGTTATCATCAAACTTTGACTGAATAAGCCGAGTAATAACTCAATTTGGAGCAAGTCAAGCTGGGGAATGTGACTGCGAAGCCCTGTGGAAAAAAATCGGGCCCCAGTAGTATTTGAAAACGGGAGATAGGTAATGCCTGCTTTAAACGATAACGACATTACATCTGAAAGAAAGCAACAAAAGAAGGAAGAGAGGATGGAAAACCCAGAATGAGTAAACTTTGATTGAGAATCGGATCAGCTAAGTTTCGGTTGAGCACCTATGATCTAAGCAAACAAGTGAACAGATTCAGCCAAAATAACGAGCATAATAATGTTATTGATGAGTAGGTGGACATTTTAATTTCGCTGATTCGTCCTAGCAGCTCACAAGCCAGATAGCCGAAAAAATACAAAAGGACAAGAAATAAAATCGTCAGATGGAGTAGTAAACAGCGCTCCTAACATCGTCAATCCGAAGCATCCGACCCGTTAGACAATCGCTGGTGTGACTGACCCCAGGAACAAAGTACAGAATGGCGAAAAAGTAGCAACTCTCACTAATGAGTTTCTTTATGTTCTTTTGCTACTGACTGACTGAATTGGGGCATCGTGGAACCGTGCGCAGTGCCAACAAACCATGCCTGTCGGGGCAGCAGGTTTACAGACAGACCGAGAAAACGTCCGAGCCAGTGTAGACGATTTTTGTTGAAATGACACTTATGAGAAAAAGCAAACCATATTTCCAAGCCCAAGTTAACTCGATGCTTGCATCAAATGTAAGCAGCAGTTAGCAAGCATCGACAATGGTGTGCAAAATGGTTGCATCCAAAAGCAATGATAGTATGAGACTGGATCGTACTTGTTGCTGCTCGCGATTCGGGGCGCCCAGTATGGACAAAATCAGTCGAACGAGAGTGGGCATTATCTCACGCAGAGTGCGTGATGTGTTGGGCACAATAACCTTCCACACGTGCACCGCAGATTGGCGTACAACCGAGGTGGGATCAGATCGGGCGATGTGTAATCGTGCCAACACACGATCATGGCGCTCCAGACCCATCATCTGCTTCAGGTGTTCATGGGCTTCATTCGTGCCAAATGTGTCATCTTCATCATGAGTCTGTAATGGGGGAGAAGTAGGGCGGGTGAGATAGGAATGCGTGTATACAAGAAGGAAAGTAAGAATTGTAGAACCAAGGTGGGGAAATGAATTTCATATATATGTATATGTGGTTGGCGGCATCCGGTTTCGGATTTGCCTGTCACTGTGGCCAGCCACAGAACGCCTGCGCCTACACAGGTACCATGGATGACTTGCACTGCACCACCCACAGCTCCATCCACACACCTCATATCCAGTGCAAACCCGAAGGAATAAGACCGGGAGGCATCTGGATAGGAGCCACGTTTCATCAACGGAGCCGGCCCACACTCCCTCATAGGCAAACCTAAGCACTCTGCAGCCGGGGAATCAAGCGCACACAAGGCAGTGGCTGGGCTGTAGTCCGCTCCACAATGACTGCATGGAACCACTCTTCGAGCCTAACACGACCACAAGGACCGTGCACCCCGTCCCCTCCAGCAACGACCAACTGTCTCCTAGTGTAAGGATGGACGAGGTATTGGGTAATAGACAGATAGGCACCTTGTCAATATGCACATCAAGCGCAGCCATACCGAGGATGCCAAACAACAGCCAATCACAACAAATGACATTACCGAATAAAATATGTGTTAAAGAATATGGCTATGCAGACATAACTCTTCCCTAAATTAGCATATGAACTAAGGCGATTATTATCAACGAATACGCGATAAGTACAAAATGTCCACAAGTTGTTCAAAAAATGCTACAAACAAGAAAATTAAGGAAGATAACCACAATTAGAGAAGACAATGTGGCCAGTTAATAGAAGATTATTCAAGTAGGCAGAACAAAGGAAATAAAGTGGAATTAAATTTATCCGGCTTACAATGACCTAGTGTAAGTGTAAGTTGATTTAGCCCAACTGCGATGAAGAAGCATCATTAATGCAACATGAGCCTCAGTATGGGGCATATATCATGCATAATGGTTGGCGACAGCCGGTTTCTGATTTGCCTGTCACGGTGGCCAGCCACAGGACGCCTGCGCCTACAGAGGGACCATGGATGGCTTGCGCTGCACCACCCACAGCTTCATCCACATACCCCATATCCAGTGTAAACCCGAAGGAATAAGACCGGGAGGCATGTGCATTGGAGCCACGTTTCATTAATAGAGCCAACCCACACTCCTTCACAGACAAACACAAGCACGCTGTATTTGGGGAATCAAGCACACACAAGGCGGTGGCTGGACCGTAGTCCGCTCCACACTGAGTGCATGGAACCACTCTTTGAGCCTAGCACGGCCACAAGAACCGTGCACCCCGTCCCCTCCAGCAACGACCAACTGTTTCCTGGAGCCAGTATGGACAAGGTAGTGGGTACTAGACAGGTAGGCACCTTGTCAACCTGCACATCAAGCGCATCCACACCGGGGGTATCAACCAACGTTAATCACTTGAAACAACAAGATGAAAGAAAATAAATCGTATAATGCATACAGATACGGTGGCATAACTCTTCGCTAAATTAGCATATGAAGTAAGTTGGTTAGCGACGAATCCGCGATAAGTAAAAAGTATCCACGAGTTACTTAACAATGCTACGAACGCAATAAAGTTAACGAAGACAAGCGCAATTAGCGTAAGTAACGTGGCCAATTTATAGAACATTATTCAGGTAGGCAGAAAAAAAAACAAAATGGGATGAAATGTATCCAGCTTAGAAAGACCTAGTTTAAGTCTAAGTTGGTTTAGCCCAACTGCGGTGAAGAAGCATCAAGAATGCAACATCAGCCTGAGCATATATATATATATATATATATATATATATATATATATATATATATATATATATATAGTCTGTGTATAAATATGGACTTTGCAGAACCGTGACTAAATTGGAGCGCAATAGAAGAACATAAAGCAATTGGAAGTAAAACCGTAACGACAGTGGTGAAAAAGAATAAGAGAATTATTTGATAATCGTAAAGGATGCTTTAGTCTCTATCCCAAATCGACTCTACCTCCTAGAGTTTATAGGATGCCCAAGATACATAAGCCTGAGGTCCCCATGCGACTTACAACCGGCCGTACAGGCTGCCCGACTCACGAATTCGCGAGGGATTTGTTGGGAATATTGCAGCCCCTGACAGGACGAACGAGCACGATCGTGAGGAACTCGTACGACTTTGCCTGAAAGATAGCAGGGCTCACCCCATTGAGTCGGATGAACTAATCGTAGGCATTGCTGTCACCTCGCTTGTTGCTAATGTACCCAAAGAGGAAGCGCGAGAGTTAGCAACGCACTGACTAAACAAAGACATCAGATTGGGTAAGAGAACAAAGCTTACAATTGATCGAATCGTGCAGGGCATGGGATTACGCCTTAACATGTCCCATTTCGTTTCCCAGTCGAAGCTATACACCGAAAAACGAGGCCTGACCATTGACTCATAAATATCCCCTGTAATGGCGAAATGGTACACGGACGCACTAGTAAACTCCGGTACTTCATTGAAAGTTTGGTGGTGCTACGTAGATGACATCTAGGTGATTATAAAAAGGGATCAGAAGCAGCACTTGCTAAACCGTCTAAACACCATTGACGGGAGAATAAACTTCACCGTGAACTCGGAGTCGTGCAGTGGTACAACACCATTTCTTGAGTGCCTAGTTCATAGAAATGGAGGAAATTCGAAAACAACAATCTACCGTAAGCCAACAAATACCGATGGGATACCCCATTATACTTCAGGTCATCCAAAGCACGTTTACGCGAGGATAGCCCCATCGCTGTTCCACAAGGCACAGATCCTGCTGCACTGAAAGAGGCAAGGAGCAAACTACTAGACAATGGTTATCCGCGACGCCTAATGGGACGTCAATTACAAAAGGTAATAATCCCACAGACAAGGTCCACAAGACAGTGGGTTGGAACGGTGGGAATTCGTGACAAAGTAGGAACCTCGGAAGCAATTCGGAGGGTAATAAACAAGGAGTGTATAAGGGTGATCTTTCAGCGTGGCCAAACCTTGTGTTCAATGTTGGTACGCCTGAAGAACCCTCTTCCCACAGATAGGACAACGAACTGCGTGCACAAAATCAACACATAAATTGGACAAACATCAAGAGAGTTACGGGCACGAATCGTACGAACATGAAAAGGCGCATTTTACGACCGCCGAGGAGTAAGCATGAATACAAATATCTGTTAATAGACTCCATCGTGGCTGTACATGCGTTGGATACCGGGCATCAGATCGATTTGGATAATATCGAAATTGTTGGGAAGGGTTTACGAGCAAAGCCCCCGAGGTTAATTGCCGAGGCAATCGAAATCGCTACAGCTGATAGCAGTGTGAATAGAATGGGGAGGGTTAAACTCTCGACTGCGTGGAGAGTAAACATAACGCGGCCAGGCTGACGAGCGTTGGTACGCCGGTCAGGTTGGATAGAAAGAAGTGACATCAGCATCCTTTACGCCGTCATTGACAAAATGACGGACAGTGAAACCCCGACAACTGATCCAATCTGACTGACCACTTGGGTTGGCTTTTCCAGCTGTCTATAAGAGTTTTCTGACTCATATCTCAGTTATTACGATTACCTCCCTCACCTGCTATATAAGGCCACACCAACTATGTACAAACTAACCTGGCCTGACGAAGCTTTGGTGTCAAAAGCGAAACGTTAGCAATCAAATAAGCTAACCGATTGTCCATAAATCTCTCTGAAATCATGACTCCTTGATCGGTTCCAAGTATATTCCAAGAGTTCGAAAACAGTTCTTCGTTTCATACACGCCAATTAGTTTTCGGTTTTTTGTTTGGACACCAAGTAACAGATGTGGTGGGACGACATTGGCATTGCTGATATCTCTGCGGACCATAACATATAATGTTTGTAATCACTAGGAGTCAGAGTAGCGTAGTTTTCAGTCTGAAAGGCGGACTGCTCCAATCAATGCTAAGCATGAAATCGCGCATTTTTCGCGGCATTGGTTGTCTACAGTGACACATTTGCAACTACTTCGGAAAGACGTAAATGTGCCATTATTTCCAACCACGAAGCACGACTGAAGGGGCTGCTATCGAAGTTGAACTTGATTATTAAACACAGAGCCAGCAGAGGGAAAATGTACACGAGATAGTGAGGAGGCTGGGTGTGATTAAGCAACGAACCAGGACAAATAACATAATCGATGAAGAAAGCTAGTTCACACAATCCCGTCTAATACAGTAGCAATTAGGTGGTTACCTTGTCTATTTTCTACAACGGTTTACAACCACATCCATGGATTGCGTAGGACAATCATCGCGTAACGTTTGTGGTGAAGTTGCGGAGACCAATAAGTTTAATAAGCTCTGGCCGACAATCCGTTTGAAGCAAGCGATTGTCAATCACATCAGCGGAAAGCCAGACCGACTACCGCCTGCATAAAATAGGTCTCGAAAAAACATTCACACAATGAAACATACGCATTTCATTTCGTTTGCTAATCAGCTTAACTGAATCGTGCAGGCTTTTTCACATAGTACAATCGATTATGCACCCAGCAACCCAATGATCTAGCAGCTTGCAAACAAACGCATCCAAATTAAGCAGCATTTTCCCAAAAGCTTTGTAAAAAGATGCTTCTCAGTATGATCACTAGAAAAGCTATCAGAGGTACAGAAAAAATATGACGTAAACTGAGGATCATTTATGTCCAGGTTGGATTTCCCTTTATAAACACAGGCCCGGTATAGTGACCCTAACATATCGTGCACCACAGAACTTAGCGAAAACGACATCGAAAGCCCAGTCACTGCCATCTTTTAAATGATGGTCGGTAGACGTTCGTTCCTGGTCCCAGTGTACACATGCCCCAGGGAGTAGCAATTTCAAATGACGATTACGCCACTACATAACTGTACCCATAATAAGCTATGTGAGAGAGCGGTCAAAAATTAGCCAACATCATTTCACATCAGTCAAGGAGTTAGGATACCTTTCGCTGTCTTTCCAAATGTCATTATCTGATCTGATTTTTAATCCCCAGATCTACCTGCAATCGACGTTCTGTACGTGTATGTATTCACTCGATCATGTCGATACAGACATGTGCCGTATGGCCAAGAGTAAAAGTTTATTTATTTATTTATCTATTTGTACTGTGTTTGCACTCAAGTGTTTCTTGAGTGAAAACTCGGAAAACTCCAGAGGAAGTGACACAGAGTTCCGCCCACTATTAGTTCGCAAAAACAACGTCACACTTTCTTATCCACAGAGACAGAACAAAGGTGACATTTTTCTGTAACCGCCCAAGCAACAGAGGATATCACAAAGACGATTTTTAATCGGGAATCGAATCATGAGATGACACTGGCGTGCGACGAAAAGAAATAAAGCGATGCAATACAGGCGCATCAACTGAGCCGCCAGTACTGGATGATCACCGTTCCGGACAGCTAGCATCCGACTGTTGTGCCTCAAAATAGTTATGTTACGCATCAAAAGTGAGATTGTGATTGGATGGGGAAGGACAAATAAATTCACAACACAAACGCCACTGAGATCCACTCCAAACCATGGTAACAGGTGTATCCAGCTAAATGTGTTCATCGTCTTTCGGGCCCCGACTAGGTATTTGAGAGGCTCCAACGGAGGTGAACTTCGAACTAAGGGCCTTCATTCCTCTTGACTATGTTATCGGTTGGTATCCCTTCCTGATGGAAACTCATGACAGTTCAGTATTTTCCGAGCGACCCACGAAGATACCAAGAGCTACTAGTCTTAGTGGCTCGGTCATGACTAAGACGTCAATTTGTCGACAAATATCTCCAAATTGACGTTCATAAACCAGCTGTGTTTGGAAACACCATAAATGCACTTGCACGAACTACCGAAAAGTCGAGTGCTCGATCGCAAAGTCCAAAGAATCAGACCTAGACGAAAAGTAAGAATCGAAAACATCGACAAAAGTTGGAGATGTTTAGTGCAGAAGAAGTCTTACCTTGGTGGTGCCTTTGCCGGAATAACCAGAGAGCTGGTACAAAAGATCTCCAACCAACTGTACAGAGGCATGTCGAATACGCCAGTTTGAATCACCCATGCCACGCTCGAATTCCGGAAGAAGTAACTCCACAGAGCTGTCAGCAAACATTCGAACGATGCGCTGAGCAGCTTTGAGGGCCGTTTCCCGTAAAAACTCGGTTTCATCTGATAGCGACTGCGAAAAGGAAAAACACCAAGGGCGTTGGAATAGGAATTTGGAATAAAACAGTGGTGTACAACGGAAAGACGCCATCTCAAGGAGACTGAACTGGGAGACGATGAGCATCGGTTTTTTTCTTTCGTCACAAGTCAACAGGAATAAGCCGAGTAACTAGTGCTTCTTCAGAGATGCAGGTTGGTCAGTGAACAAAGAGCAATTAGAAGGTAAGTGCCGAAAAGTGGTTGTATCGTGTAGTCAGCTTCGTCAAGAAATGACCATTCACTGTAGGGATCGATTCCGGGTGAACAAGAGCCCATGGATATATTCCCCAAGTATTATCACCACTTATTTTTCTCATGAAACAAAGTGGGACAGAGTGATTAGCATAATACCCTGGGGGCGTCAGATGGAAGTGTGATGACAGCGATAACGGCAATGATAAGCGCAAAACAGCGCGTTAATTAACGAGTAGGAGTCGAACATTGCCAAAGTCTTAGTCATCCCTACTGCTGTCTTGCGCATGATGAAATCGATCACGTTTGTCAATCACACGGAGATGTTCACAATGCACGAGTTCGACCGTAGGCGGGATAAGTCTAGAGATCGCCTGTTGTTTCTCGTGGACCATTCTCAACTCAATGCGCCAAACATGCGCACCAACAGCCAAGTGTTCGAATGGCATATGCGTATGGAGTATGTGTTTGAAGAGAACCGAGAAACAGTGCATATTAAACGAGGTGTTCAGATTCGGCTATGATACCGTGTTGCGATTCAGGAAATAGTTAGACACCCACTTCACGGTGTATACAAGTCGAGAGCGCATCGTATCCGAATAGGACGTCGTACGGCCGAAATAAGTTGGAAATGCGAGATGACAAATGTTCAGTATGCGTGCCCGTTTCCACACAGCGGCAGCAATAAATTGCAAGAACCCAAGTTACGAACGGTTACGACTAATGCCGACCCGTCGTCTTTAGAATCACAAGTCTGCTTGATAATCCGTGGTCTTGGATTCGAGCTTGCCTAGAGGCCGGGCGACCCTTGCAGTATTCGTAGCCAACGAGCAACCGGTGACGGTTGTGTGGCAGCGACGCGTCGGTACTACGTGTTGCTGATGTTGTTTTCTCCCGGTATCAGTTACAACCACAACCCGTTCCACCAATCTGTGAACTTTACTGGATAGTGTGTGGCACACAGTGCTTCTGTGTATATTTGCAAATTCCAAGTGTGCTTCGTATGCTGAGGTGTTAGTATGATCTGCTGTTAGTCCGTTGTCGTCTAGTTTTCTTTCTACACATATACTACTGGCTACTAGCGCAGTAGTATCTGCTTTTGCTAACTACAATCTTTATATACTCCAGCCTTCTACTTTCAGTATTCATGATGATGACAGTAATACCAATATTACTAATATTGGTATTATTATTAATAGTGATAATGGTAATGATAATGTCCAAAACGTAGATCGGAATATCATTGCACATGGGGTTAAGGAAGCAATAGGTTTATCTAATACTATCCCAGTAGCTGACTGCACATCACGATTAGGTAACGCAATGAACATCTAACGGGGTTAAATGCTTAGTAGGAATTACTTACCTTTAGGATAGTAGGAACGACCGGACCAATAAACTCAGAAAATGCATCTTTGAATACCGCGGGCAGGTAGATGAATAGCATGAGGTAACCATCGCGCACGTGGGGCTGAACTTTCATATCCGAAGAGGCAGTGCGTATGAGATCAGGCAAAATGGATCGCAGCCGATCGATGCCCATAGCGCCAAGGACTTCAGCAAGACCCTGAGCCGCACCAGACCGGTCCACTGAAGAGGATTCACAAGTCAATGTATCCAACAGCCATGGGAGGACCTCCTGAAAGTTGCGCAAAGATTAAGGAATAAACAAACAAAGAAATAAGCGTACGTGAAGACAAATAAGTTTGACTGACAGCAGTCAGCACGCATAGTTGACCTACTTTGAAGCACGGTTCGCCCATTCCACGCACAAGAGAGCCAAGAGCAGCTGCGGCGACCGAGCGGACCTCTGGGACTGCATCCAAAAGACAAGATTTCAGTGGAGGAAGAATATTGGCAACGTATGGTTGTAGCTCCTGTGGAACAAGGGTCGGTATGAAATTAGATAGGGGGTCATCTGCGGTGATAACACAGTGAAAAGAAGACCACGGATAAAGGGTATAGTAGGTGGGGAAAATGATAGATATCAAGATAGACGAGCATTGAATCCGAGAGGTAGGTAATTAGCAAATGCGTTCTCTTACTGTAGCACTTAGAGAGATCGGAGAGCTTGGTGTCAGAGTAAATAAAGTCAAACGGCAAACTCCTAGATAATGCATAACTGAGAACGGGAATCCAGAGTGAATTTGGGTGAGGGGACTGACAAAGAAATTACGAAAATGTGAGGCACTGCGGCGGGAACAGCCCAAAGGTGACGGTCGACAAAGCAAGCAGTTTGCGATCAAATGCGACTGAATTGTCGGTAAACGAAATGGCACAAGCCAAACTCGATCTTGCACAAGTGGCCAGCACTGTATGAGTGAAGGCCAAACAATCCAATGTTAATGAAAGTCGTTGCGTGGAACGCCGTCAGTCGCATCGAAGTACGATACACAGTTAGGTAACAAATTGTTGTTAATGGATACATGATAACCAAAGTCCAACGCATGCCGTTTGTGTAGTCACGTAGAAATAGATAAAGAAGCCATAATTATGTTAGCTTCCAATTTCACAACGAGACTCAGCGGCTTTTCGACTTTAGATTTGGAAGAAGTTGGGATGAACTTGAAACCGCTGTGCATACATCCCCAAGCTGGACGCTACTCATCATGTTAACTAGACGCAATAACAGTTGAAGTACTACTGACTCCTCATAATATTGCCTCAAGGTATTTTATCTAGCAAGCGGATTAAAGTGTACGAAAACCAATCAACAGATGCAGTATGGAAAATAACGCGCAGGTAAACAACCATGATCAGGGTATTGATTTAACAAAAATAACAAAAGGGATGAGATGGGACATCCAGATTGTGTATAGCAACCCATTAACAAAAGGAGTGCTTCACAAGGACCATCTAAAGCTAGGTAACATTTATTCAAGTCATAATAGACCGTGCGATTGGGGAGTCTGACTTTCCAATAGTCACACAGCCACACAGGTTCATGCGTACAGGCACAGGCACATAAACTACGCGAATGCAGATGAAGAAAGAGGGGAAAACTTAGTCACTGTGTTGCATTGAGGCAATTAAGAGAGGGTTTGCAGGGACACTCGATGTTCGCACAATTCGGTTGCACTAGTATGACTACCGCGTGAATTGAACATTGTCCAGTCGCGTCTTACTCCTCATTTATTGCTCACAAATTGCTGATTTTCCGCTTTGGATGCAATGTATCCAATGTGGTTTGCAAAACGTCCAATTTAAAGTGAAAATTGTATGTATTTATGTATTGGGACGATTGGGGGGAAAAACTGAAAGACGGAAAATCTGATACAGTGAAAATGTTGGCAACAATCGTGAGAAAAGGGGGTAAAGAAGTCCAGTGATAGTCAGATAAGTGGGACATGTTCCCGACTGGACCAAGTGGGGTTGAGGGGAAATCCGAATAGACAATTTGGGTGGCAGCGATACATTCAGTGTAAGGGATACGTGTCAATGTCCAATCAGCGCAGCAAATGGCAAACAAGTTATGCAAACAAAAACGAAATCCCGTAACTCGAGCATGCAAGTATAAAAGATCCCTATACCAAAGTGAATGATGGCCTGATAGATAAGCAAGCGCCAGATCAATGGTTACAAATGCTTATCACAATGAGTCAGAAAACTGACAGTACAACAAACGCAGGCCGCTTAAGTATTAAGTACGGTAGTTGCCAGTCAAAGGAACAAGTCAGGTCAAGCACATTCCATGGGTGGGTGATGTGCAATGCATGGTAAACAAAGACAGTCAACACACGTATTTACCCAAAATACGTTACCAGTGAGGGTGAGGCCAGCGAAAAGTTAGTTACATCAGACTTGGAGTGCACATATCAGATGCTCAGGCTTGTGAAAAAGCCGTTTGGCTCTCAAGATGCCATAAAGGTCTGATTTAGAACTGCTGCATTCGACCAAGAGAATTATTATTCAGTATTAGTTTTTGTTGTATCAAGAAAGCCGCAGGACAGGTAAAAAATGTATCTCACAAATTAACCAAGTACAAGTGAGTCAATCCCTTGTTAGTAAGATAGGAATGAGTCAGCAAGCCAACCAATGAGGTTGAGCCAATCGATGTTGCTCACATGGTTATCACAGTTATTACTATTACTATTCATCGGTCAATGTCGTTCGATGTGCTGAAAGTCACATACTTCATTGTTGGAATTGTTTGCTTAGAGACAAGTTGTTCCAAACGCTGATGTCATCCCAGCGGCAAGTTTCTTCTGTTCGGGAAACTCAACGTTAGGTGAAGAATGCAAATCCCAGCAAAGTTTTCTACTTTGCGCTTCAATTTCTACAAGTCATTTGCCAGCAGATGAATGCGCTCCAACTGTGGTTCAATGGGCAGCACATCAACAAAGATGCAATCAAAAGGATTACGAGACAGTACCACACTCCAAATTCCGTCAAGATTTATACTACTCTAAACATAGTATTTGAAGTAGAATTGTGCCACAACATCTCATGCTCAATACGTTTCACCGAGTAAGTTCGAGTAAGGTCGGCGGTCCGGATCCGATCAGCAGACCGCAGTTTGATGAGCCTGAACGAGTAAGGGACCAAAAACAAGTAAAAAAAAGCGGTGGCTAAGCAACTGACGGCAATTTACACAGAGAATGGCAATGCGCCAAACGCCGTAAGAATCAAAGAATACGTAAAAGCAGATGTGTTTCAATGGAGCGAAACGGCCATCCACATCTGTGAGGAGAATCTCTGAGAGAAAATACGGACAAGAATCAAGCTTCATTGCGGAGAAATCGGATAGCAAAAGTAATGCAATAGCGAGTAACACTAACTTCTTTGCGAGCAAGACTGTGAAGATTGCCAAATATTTGTGCGGCTGTTTTTCGAGCCTCTGTGTTTCGATCCGTGAAAGCTCGCTGGATCACTGGCAAAATGAGAGCCAAACTGGGGGCATCCAACACATGCACGAAACAAGTGTCCCGTAGGGCCAGCAGACAAGGCATCCTGTCAGCCAATGGGTCTTGCAGACAGTTTGTCAACAAGGGGACCAAAGCTAAAACAAGCAACAGAGGCAAGCGGGTGCGAGTGTGCAGTACGAAGTTGAGGGAGTAACACATTCCAACTAGTGAATGAGGTGAAAGAAAAAGCGTAGAAACGGCCGGTGAATGAGCAACTGTCACTGTAAGAGAGATTACAATAAGAGAATGCGTTCGGATATATATATATATATATATATATATATATATATATATATATATATATATACGCTCCCCATGCCGGTGCTGGTGTTGTATTAATGACGCTTCTTCACCGCAGTTGGGCTAAAGCAACTTACACTTAAACTAAATCTTTTTAATGTGGATAAAATTCATTCAACTTTATTCGGTTTGTTCTGCGCACCTGATAATCTTCATCTAACTTACACACGTCGCTCATGCTAATTGTGGTAACATTACGTTACTTTATCTCGTGGTAATTTTTAAGTAACTTTCGGATATTTTGTACTTATCGCGTATTCACCTTTAACCAATTTATTACATATGCTGATTTAGGGAGTATTTATGTCGTCATATACCATTACTTTATTCGATGTCTTTTATTTGATATCAGTATTTCGAATGATCGCCTATTGTTTGACATCCCAGATGTGGCTGCGCTTGATGTGCATCTTGACAAGGTGCCTACATGTCTATTACCCACTACCCCGTCCATACTTGCTCCAGAAAACAGCTGGTCGTTGCTGGAGGGGACGGGGCGCACGGTCCTTGTGGTCGTGCTAGACTCAAAGAGTGGTTCCATGCACTCAATGTGCAGCGGACTACAGTCCAGCCACCGTCTTGTGTGCGATTGATTTCCCAAATACAGCGTGCTTGTGTTTGCCTGTGAAGGACTGTGGGCTGGCTCCGTTGATGTAACGTAGCTCCCATCCGCATGCCTCCCGGTCTTATTCCTTTGGGTTTACAATGGGTATGGGGTTTGTGATTGGAGCTGTGGGTGGTGCAGCGCAAACCAACCATGGTCCATCTGTAGGCGCAGGCAAATCTGAAACCGGACGTCGCCAACCATTATATATATATATATATATTATCAGGATGAAAAAATGTGGATAGCAAGCCTGAAATCGTTTGCAGAGGAGTCGTTCCCTTCCCGATGTGGGCGAGATTGAAGTCGGTGTTACAGTACGACAATGGTAAACCAAGGTACGCCGTGGGAAGCGCATATACCAAACACCACAGTTAATAAACCCAAGATTTTATGGTCGGTGTGCTCGCAGAAGACCTATATAACACTCCTGTAACCGTAATTCCACAAAGCAAAGCATTGCACGAACTGCAGCTCATGAATAGACCTGCAACAGAAGTGGCAAAGGTAAAGTGGTAAAGTTAGTTCTCAGTAGGTTGCAGATGCCAAACCTGCTTGACCTTGAAACCAAAAGCGTGCCATAACATAGTAAACAGTGTACAGAGTTTGAGAACATGGCCATCTAAAGCATACAAAAAGCAAATTGTTAGCTAGAGAACAATCTAGCTTGAATAAAAATAATTTCAGACGGACTTTGGGGTCCCCACATGCAGGAAGATGAGGAGAATGAACTCAGACAACTCTGTCAGTAAACAATTTCGTGAGCGCATTTACGCAGCTGACTGGTCAATCTGGATCTTTGTCTAACCAGATATGGTGTACTGCTGAACTACATTGACCAAGGTAAGCGATTGACAAGTATCCGACGGAATGTGCGCTAACCAACGATTGTGGCACGCGTTCGGTGAGGATCCAGAACGACTGCTGCCAAGGTTTAGTGCGTTAACATTGTTCAAGGAGAGTGCTTCGCACGCAATGACGACCGAAGATAACCAGCCCGCAAACTCTGTCAAAGCGCAGCTATTAGATATCAATTGTTTACAGCACACAATTTTGCGGAAACATTGACATTCACATACGAAGGCTTGGAAAATCCACAACAGCTTAATCGGTGGATTTGAACTAAAGAACCGGTGAGGTCAATAGACCGGAAGGCTTGAAACTGATTCAGTAAACTGTACCTGTATGAGGGCCTGACAATCGTTATGGTGAACACTAAATATGCCCTTTTCTATGGCGGTGCGAGCAGCCAACAACAATGGCGGAGTACATATGCCACAGAGATTGTGATTCCCATAGAATCAGTCAACGATGGAAGGCAGATGGGGGCAGATGACACGAGATTGTTGTCTCACAACCGCTGGATATATGGAACGTTGCAGCCATGAGAGAAGTGCGATTGAGCGTTGAAGAAGGAAGCAAATAATCCGGATCTTGGACACCATTAATTATAGTGAACCATGGGAGCAAGCGAGTTAGTAAGTATCAGCTGTGCAGGAAGCTCTCTTCATCGGTCACTGTCATTAGGGATGTGCGACAGGGCTGCGTCATGTCCCCGTTTCTCTTCAAGTTTGCGGTTGGGGATGTCTTACTAAGCGCTCTGGAAGGTCTCCAGGGCTTATGTGTAGACCTGATTTCAGGCAAACGCTCGATGACGACCCACAGATCAGGCAGATCGTAATAAACCGCTTGGTGACTGAAGGTACCAAGTATGGCATGACCTTCGCTCCATCAAAATGCAAGGCCCTACTCCAGGATTGGCATCCACCTGCCCCGCACTAATTTTTGGAGGCGTGTAGCTTGAACAAGTAGATAGCATCATCTACCTTGGGAACTGCGTTTTTTCTGATGACACCAATGAAAGGGAGATTTCTCTCCGTATTGCCAAAGCACGACCAGTTTGTGTTGAGCTGTAGTATCTGTGACGTCATCGGGACGTTTCCCTTTCGGTAAGGGGCAAGGTCAACAATGTCTGTTCGCGTAGTCCTCTTATATGGAAACGAGTTCTGATCGACCCGTGTGACTGATTTGCGCCGGACTTCGTGGGTTGAGGATGATTGTCTGCGAAGAATAGCTCTTGTGTGATGGGAATACCAGGTTTACAATGACGATGTCGGACGTCGTGTTCTGGGTAATACAGGCCTCCCTCTCGGTACGCTAGTTTCGCTGCGCCAACTGAGGTAGCTAGGTCACGTCCCACACCTGCTGTGTGAGCGTTTATCATAGCGCGTTCTATTCGCTTGCGCGGGGCTGCATTGGAAAAAATGACGCTGTAATCAATCTACCACATGATGACAAAACATCAAGGCGTTTACTTTCACCTTAGTTGTTGTCTGCCCCGAACATCGCTGGTTGGTGACTCTTGAAGACAAGAGGCGTAATCGCTGACAATGGTAGATTTGCATCAGCAGATGCGTTGATCTTACTGATCAGAACCAAATTAGCAAAAGATCGGCATGTGAAAAACATAACAAAATGATTCTTTATATATTGTTCATGTTGCGATCTTTGTACTTATTAGTATGCATATTTATTCCACGGTCTTCGATGTCTACTACAGAAGGACAGTGGAAGCGCAAGAACTGGGCAGCAGCCTGAGCTGTCTGGAGGATATCCGACATCGTAGTCACGAGATCGACTACTGTAGCTGTGTTGCAAATGACTTCTACTTCTAATTGTGCCCCTTGTATTCGAGGATACAACATCTGCTCCAAATAATTTATGGTGCGGTTAGCTAAACGGAAACTTCCACAAGTCGAGTCTAAGCAAAGTACGCCTCTGCTTACTGGCGCTGGCACAGAAGCTTGCGTACATGTGAATTCATATGTTTCGCCACACCCTCGCTCTCTCCACGTGGAACTGTGCAGACAGATATAAGAGAAAGTCCACATTTGCCGCCAGCCGCGGTATGTGATTGGTGTTGCGCAGTGGTGTTTCCACCGTTAACTGGGTTGTAAAGGCACTCTGTCGAAGGTTCCTATTCGCCCTCTGTCGGGTACGTCTGCAATGGGTCGCGCGGATAGGAAACAATTACGATAAGACCGTCAAGTTTAGTTAGGGAGGAAAAGGGTATAAATCGGGGGGGGGGGACAGTGTCGTTTGATCCCACTCCGCTATCATAATAAGTTCACAGCTAATATGTTCAGGGTAATCTAGGCTATGACAGTTGGGATATTCTATCTTCGATACCCGAATGACAGTGAAGAAGCTGCTACACCGAATTAACGCGACAAAAAGAAGAAACGGTAATGTTGTATGTTAGCATTATCGTAACGACCTGCAGCAGACAACAAAAACGGATGGATTGTTTGGTCAACGGACGGAAGTGCATACAAGTTGCGGTATAGAGGGAAGATTTGCGGAACAAACCTTGAACTTCCGGGTTGCGGATCACATTGCCAATGTGTTGCAACGCACGAGTGCCGGCCTCTTTCAGCTGTTCCTGCGAAGTGACAAGAACTTCGAGCAATCGTGGAACGATTTGCGGTAGACAAGCAGACAATTGTTTGGGGGCACAATGAGTCATGGTCGCTAGCAGCTCAACAGATTCTAAAGGAGGGGGGAAGAACAGAACAGAAGCGGAAGATCTGAAAACGACTTCGCGACAACTAACAGCGACGAAGAAGTGAAAGGGGGAAGCATGTGGAAACGACACACGGCGGATTGGGACGTACGTGCTTTTGTTCGCCAAGATTGCTCACTGTCAATCGCGCGGAGCAGTGCCGGAAGAACAAGACGAACACCATGCGCACTCAGCTTGCTCATGATGGCTCGTGCAGCATTCCAGGCAGCCTGAAATACATTTATTATGGACAAGGTAGCTCGAAGAGTAAACAGGAAGGAGATGCATACAGAGAAAGAGAGGTGAGCAAACAAGACCGGAACAGTAAAAACAGACTCACCTCTCTAACGCTTGGGTTCGCATCCCCGAAAGCGTTGAGCAACCCGGAGATGAGACGGATAACATACGGCTCGAAGAGCCTGCCCATGCCCAAGCACAAACGTTCAATCGATAGCAAGGCGCCTATTCGTGAAGGTGTAAAAGGCAGTTAAACAGGCGTAGACAGGGTTGATCACAGGATGTGAATAATCCTATCGCAGAATTGCAGTATGATGCGCGCATACAAAACAAACGTTCCAGGCGAAATGTTAAGGAAAACCACTAACTAACCATCAAATAGAACCGTACAGCAAGTAGAAGAACGCTAATAGAAGCGTGCGGTACGTATCGTCTCCCTGGTTTATTAACATTAATCTAAATAGATAGATATACAATAACATTAGACGCGACAAAACAAATAAGTCATGGAGTGGATGACAGGTGTTAAGGCCTTATGCCTATTGCAGCTTAAGTTGAGAAAAACTGTTTTTTACGCACAAGACTTAGTTCATTCAGCTTACTGCAGCAGCCTCGGTAAAGCGAAGAAGGTAAGGAGTCGTGTGACGTAACACAAGTTTGAACGCTGAGCGGAAATGTGTCAGGTGATCCGAGCCCATTTGTGTTTTCTAACCAAGGAAACCGGCAGTCTGCGTGAGGACGTGGAGCGTGTCGTGGAGCACGCATAGCTCCGTAGAGTTCACCATACAGCGATTCAAACTGCACAGATCAAAGCAGAGCCTAAAGACATCAGTAGTATGCCGGTAAGCAGTACTGGGGCTTGGCTGCTAGGTTTCAAGCCTTTGACATATGGTTCGTGAAGTCATTTTCTACTCCGCAGGCGTTAATGTTGTTGCCGAGATACTTGGGTTTCTAGAAGAATTTTAGCTGATCCCCATCAAGGGGTGGATCTCTGAAAACCTTGGGGAAGGATTTTGTACTTCGAGAGCGTAAAGCATAGCTTGAAAAGATCAATAGCCAGTGCTTATCTGTTCAGTGCTGCTTGGCATGTCTGGAAGCTGTCACAGTAAAGGTCAATGACGTCGACATAGTCCAAGTCAAAAAGACGTTCACCAGAAAGCAGCTCCACACCTAAGTCGTATCCAGTGAACGCTGCTTCCATGACATCGTCAATTGCAAATGTGAAGAGGAATGCTGACGGCGGGGAACCTTATCTCGCACCACTGGAGATAGTGAAGGGCGGTGAGAGCTTGCCACAAACCCTCACACTACAAGAACTATGCGCGAACAGCGCACTTACAGTGTTAACGCAATTGTCGGATATAAAATTCCTAAGCAGAGAGACCCAAAGGACACGCAGATCTACCGAATCAAGAACAAGAAAATCGTCGTGTCTCCAAAAAATACGGCGGTGCTCCAACAACTGACGTAATGTGAAGATGTGAGCAATACAGCCGCGATTTCGACGGAACCCAGTCTGCTCTTCACGAATCTGGCTTTGACGGGTAGCAGACAGCCTATGGAGGATGACAGAGGCATATAGCGTAAAAGTAATGGAGATCAGGCTGATTCCACTATGATAGCGCATCCTGAACATGAGCTTCCCTTGACAACTGGATTATGACAAATCGCCTCTAGTCTGCTAGAACAGTCTTTTGCTCACACAAATTCACTAGTAAGTCGTGCAATCATTCACAAGAGCGGGTCCCCCTTATGTGAACAAGGCTAGAGGAAGTCTATCTGTTCCCGCGGCATTATCCAACTTTAGCAGTCCGATCTCACGTTCGACTTCAGTGCGTTAAGGCGAGTCCCAGGGGACGATACATGGAGGAGGGCAATCAATGACCGATAGACAGACTGGAAACGCTGACTGTGATTAAATTGCTTCTCAAAGTGTAACGTCTAACGATTCAAGCACCTTGACAAACTGTGAATCGGCTTTGCGCACTCGTCGAGTGTGGTCTCGGTAACACCAGGTCTCCCGCTGCCAATTTCCTGCACAAGGCGGAATAAATTACCGAGGTTAATAACGGCAGCGGTTGTTTCCATCTCCGAGACACAATGAAGAAACCACACACACACTATATACGTAAGCTAGAGGTAGGAAACACCTCAGCTACTGTGCCGCAATACCTAAAAGAAAAAGGGGAATAAAATGCAACAGGTGCAAGCCAGCTGAGTTACCGGTAACGGATGGGCATCGTTCCGGTAATCTACCTGCCGGCTACTATACAGCAGAAAGAAAAATAATTTCCTATGCAATATTATAAAATGCTAAATAATGAGATCGTGGTTGGCTAAGAGGGATAGGGTGGGATAGACACCAGGTTTCGTTAGTTCTCTTCAGGTTAGCATGCGGTTTCGCCCCCCAGGTCTTTGCGAGTCTCGTTGTGTTCGCTCCCAGCTGGAACACATCGGCGAACATCCATATGTTCAAGCGCGCTAGAGACCCTATGTCCAATCTGGCCAAATGGATCGATTAGGCATGCGAATCACCTCACCACGTAAAAATCTAGTCTCGTCAAGATGGGGTATTGGAAGTAGCGGGGTTGTACGCATTAAATCCGCCGAAAAACCTGTGTTGCTTTGTTAAGGCGATGTAACGTAACTCTTTGAATGCCTAGCTTCAATGGCATGCGGGGTACCATAACACACGCAACTATTGGTAACGGCTGAATCAGAAGCGAATGAAATAGCCGAGACTCATTTCAGGGTAAATCGTTGTCCACGCATACAATCAGCATTGCGAATCTGTCTGAAAAGACTAAAGGTGAACGAACTCGAGGACAGAGTGCAGCGTCAATATAATCCGAAGCCGTATCAATTGCTGATGAGGCGAAGTTAAGTGGTTGCCGGAGTCTTGGTGATACCATCGATGGGACCGTCAATACTGTGCTCCTGATCTCACAACTCGCGCCAGTGTGAATTCCAAATTCAATTGAATATTCTATTACTGTCTATTTATAAGTAGTTCCATTTAAACCCATATTTGTTCTAGTGGAGCGAATTGGCTGAAGAACGGGCTATTTATTCGTTTATTGGCTTTATTGTATAACCGTCCAACTCGTCATCAGTCAATACAAGGTAATGTCGAAGAATTTTGTTTTAACATACCATGCACTTTGCATTGGAATGAGGTCGCGCAGGTCAATGGATCTGGAACTAATCCAGTAACTAGCTTTACTTTGCAACCCCTAATGTAGAATCGTTGTAAATTCAGCGAAATTCGTCCAGCCCTACTACTCTTCTGTAATCAGTGCGCAGACAAAACTGCTTATAATGCCATAAGTTAATAGGCGGCTTAAGTTTGGGAAGCTCGTCACTTGGTGAGGGGGCTACCCTGTCCTCTGCACGGCAGTAACGTGTAAGTCAGTGGATAGTGAGCGGCGCTATATCACATCTAGTAACTTATTCACGATGGTCGTTGCCGTCCCCCGTAGCTCAGTGGTCTCAACCACGCACTGGCAACAGTCGAGTTGCGGGTTCGAGCCCTACCAGGGGGCCGATGGAATGCGCACTGCTGATGATTCCCGAAAGGATGAAACGCGCGTACAGTGCATTTCCGGGCGTGTGGCGGCTGTCTGAGTGAGTCTAGATGCGACGAATTTCTACCTATACAATTCGTTAAGAATTTTCACAGCCCAGATCGTGAGTAGGCCGGTGGCCAATAAGATTACGCGATTGCGTTGTAGTCCGGAGGTCACCAGTTCGAATCCGCATAAGTGCGGGCCGCCTGGTGGTATACTCAGCCCAAGTGGGACGGGTGGCGATAGCGTTTCAGCGGAGCGTCGGTAGGATGTGCCGTCGTACTGTTGCTGCTACATTTTCCTTTTCCATTATTTATAAATTTAGACTAGGTTCATCGGCTCACAGACTACAATGTATTTGTGCGGTAAGATCGAGACTAAAATCCAGGTCTAACGGAGTTCAGATGATTAATGGTCAGTAGTATTCGGGTACCTTCTACCGGAGTTTTGTGGACTTGCAATCACAAAAGGGTGCAAACAGACTGAGCTTCTCTTCCAGAACGCCAAACCCATGCTGCACAAATAGGATTCAAGCCCGGGGAGTAGCGACTTCAAGTCAGATGGGTAGAAGGCTACATTACAGAGAGTCAAAAAGTACGACAAAGTTGAAGATTGAAGAAACCAAAAGCAAAATCAAGGTAAGGCACGAAAGTTGGATATGGGTGTTTGAATGTTCAGGTCACTTGGCGTACTTAAAGTGAGGGAAAAACTGCGGACTGAATGGAGAAGTTAACGCTGAGTGGGTTCAATTTTTGCACTCAGAACAATATAGAATCATCCAAAGAGAAAATATCTCTTCAAATCCGTAGATCATTGCAGCGTGACAGGTAGACATACCTTCACGGCGTTTGCCTGACTTTCCGTCTTCCAGTGCAGGGAGAATTTTGTCAATAATGCCATACTGTTTCAATGACATAATGCCTAAGCCACGAACGACCCCGGCAATTCCGTGGGCAGCTCCGTGCCGCTCTGCAAAAGATGGAGAGCCCAACAACGTGGAGAGTAGACGAGTGACAGTCTTAGACCTCTGTTCCTCGGTCAATTTGAGGACGAGAGAAGCCAAACAGTCCTCGACTGCCTGTTGCACCTGGAACACAAAGGTTAAAATGATTTCGACATATAAGCAGCAAAGAGAGAGTTATGTAGAATTTAAATAAAACGGAAACATAAAAGATGAACAAATGAGTTGTGTCAATGAAAAGAAAAATGCATTTTGATGGAGAAGTTCTAAAGGGATAGGTAAAGACACCGTTAGATCGATGGATGAACTCCACAAGTCCTGGAAACAAAATAGCTCTCATCTGCAGATAGTAGATCAGCGTGAGCAGTAGACTCTTAGTAGACGTACCTTGCTTCATAATATTTGCCAACGCATCCATTCTGGTCGAAAGAACTACGTGGAAAGATGTTCCCATGAAACATGTGAGCATTCTGATGTCCTTCCGACAACAAATGGCGTTCGTCAGAATTGTGTAACCCTTATTTCAGTTCAGCATCGTCGATTCATACATGGAATGTTTTTTCTGAAATCGCAATAGTGCTGCCTGGTGGAAAGCTAGTTGATCTTGATTGTGTGGCCGAGACGGTCTTGCTGTTTAACGATGTCCGGGTGGTGCAATCAGGCCTGAATTGCTTCTCTAAAATAGTCCGATCAGTTGACATGCGCTTCGCACCATCAAAGTGCAGTGTTCCTACAGGACCAGCGGCAACTTGAGGACACCTTGATCCTTGATAAGGAGGAACCCGAGGTGATTGAGTCATTCACTTACCTTGGCAGCTGCGTCATCAACGATGGGCGCATAGAAAAGAAAGTCATATCACGCATTGCAAAAGCCAGAACTGCCTTTCT